GAAATGGAAATTTTACATTTCTGAAGGGAATTAAAGCACGTTGTAATATTGGGCTGCTGTCTTTATTTGAGCACTATAATATATGTAAGGTAATAAGGCTTCAAACACTCTTAACGTATACTTGGATATTATATCCAAATTTCTTATATCTAGATTCCTCTCTTTTTAAAGGTTGGATCTCACCTGAAAACTCCCAAGTTTCCAATTTGGGTAGTGTGCAGTGAGAGTCATTTCAGTGTGTTTTTTTGCCCCTCTGAAGACCTGGCAACCGATCACTGCAAAGAGGAAGAGTTTGACTTGTACTATTATGATGGCCTGGCCAACCAGCAGGAACCAATTAGATTAACAGTCTGTGAGTCTCACACACACAAAACAGACACTGGTTGTATTATCCGTAGGATTTGAGAAAAACAAAATCAACACAACCTTTGCACACTTGCTTTGTAATTAGGGTTTATTATAAATCAGTATTAAAAGGCCTTGTGTATTTTGTGTCTCTGAACAGATCCACATTCTGCTGCGGGTGCTGCTCGGAATGACAACGCAGACAGTGATCTCATTTCTCCACTGGAGCTTTGCATCAGGACGAAGTAAGTCTTTTATTTCATCAGTGCTTAGAAGTGTATCTCTCTTGCTTATCAGAATGTTTTCTATAACATGTAATTTTGATATTGTGAAATACAAACATGTGGCGATATTAATGCTTCAAATATGTCTTACAGATGGAGAAATGCAGTGGTCAGCTGGAATAATACAGATCCCATTCTTTGATAATGCACGTAAAGGAGATTTTTATTTGACCCCGTATGATTTTATCTGGTCTTAAACAAATTTCAAGTAGGTTTTATATTTATATAGGTTTAGTATTTATTTTGTCTTTTATGATGGCTGCCATTCTCAATATTTATAGTATTTTCATCAGTCTGCTGCCCCTCTTGCTTGTTTTATACTTTATATTTATGTCTCTCATAGTGTCACATTGACAGTATGGCATTAGGAACTGTTATGCTTTGACAGACTTTTTTT